AGGATGGCTTCGGAGGACTCGAAGGCGGAAGTGACGACGAGGGGCTGAAGGCGGTCAGGGACTTCAAGGCCGCCGGACCGCAGGAAGACGAGATCAGGCCCGATTCGTGAGTCCAGATCATCGGACTTACCTTCGAGAAGATTGTCTTGTCCGAGGTCTCAGCCTCTGCAGTCGCCCCTTCCTTGTCTGCTTTGCCCTCCGCCGTCTGTCGATGACTCAATCATTACATATACCATGAGTTTGTAGAACCCAGCGTACCATCTCCAGCCCTTGATTGCCCAGCTTATCTAATTCCGCAAGGACCTTGCTCTGTCCCCTCATGGCTCGCGGTGGCTTGGGGCCGAATGACATACGAAGCCCGGACTTTGGCCTGAGGCCCGACACCACTGCCGTGGTGCTTGTGCTTGTCGACGTCGCACCTCTTTCGCTAGACAGATCTCTGCGAGCCCCTGGTGTAGGCTATTCATTCTCAGCTGACAGAACAAGGGAGCGAAGGGCTTCGGCACGTACTGAGCTGTCCGGGCTGCTGTCACTGTCGAGGTAAGGCAACCTGTCCGGCTCCCCTTGGCTCCTCTCAGCTTCCGACGACGACGGAAGCGCTGCACGAGAGACAAAAGACTGTACGCTGTTCTGGGCCTGCGTCCCAACTGGCGTCATCGAGGCATTTGCGTCCGCTGACGCTGCGACTGAACCTGATCCGCCGGCTCTGATCGTTTGCGACACCTGGGGAAAGTCTAGATCCGCTGGCCAGCCGATTTCTCTCCGCTTATCTTGCTGAGGGTATTCGTCAGCCACAGCAGGCTTCATATCCCTAAGGGATGCTCACCAATTGGTTCCTATAGGAGTTAGCGATCCTGACTTTATCTTGATATTTGGCGTGTTTGTCAGCTACCGTGGACTGCAGCTTAGTGAGCTTCTCCATGTCCTTCGAGCTTAGGTCCCCATTGTTCTGGTGCTTTGATTCGAAAATCGCCTGACAATACCGTCATCGAGAGCACAATAAATCAGCTGACTTGTTCTCACCAGTGCGTCGGCAGCCGACTTCCACTCCCGCTCGGCCTCATCTTGACGTTCCATCTTATTCGCTAGCTGTACTTCCATACGCGTCATCATTATCTCCATTCTCTCCATTCTCTCCTTGGAGGCTTCCGCCAGAGCTTCTTCCAGGCCTTCAAATATCTCCTGAGGCGGATGGGTAGCCTTGTGGCACTTCTTGCACTACAGATTGCCCGAATACTGTCAAGCCATACGTACCCTCAATAGACACTAGATGACTCACATTATATCGCCATTTCCCGGGGTTCTGGCCACCCTGAGTCAGCGCCGGACCCCGCCACTCGTTCGTATTCTGATTGCAAGACCAGCAGTATGTCGGCGGCGGCGGCGGCGACGGCGATGGAAGCGTTGCAGGCACGATTTTACTCTGGGATGCCATGCCACGGAAAGAGTGGTTGTCCCTCTGCGCAGGCGAGCAATATGTCGACGGTTGAACGGAGTATGTCACCCAGAAGTTAGAACAAGAGCGAAAGCGGGCTGGACAAAGTACTTGCCAGAAAATATGTTCGCTTTTAAAGGCTTCGTTCGGTCGCCTTGGTCAGAGGCACCAGATGGCTCTCTTCGGTAAAACGCTTTGACGAACCCGCGGAGACATCGCCGCGCCGCGAGTGTGCCTGGGTTGTGATCTTGTTGCCACCTTGATAATCCAAGAGATCTCGACTATTTTTATTGACCCGCGTTCTCAAGATCTCTCGTCGGGATTTCCTCCCTAAAACAGAATAGCCTCTGAGTCCAATTATTCGAACCAAGTACATGGCTCGACAGGCCAACCCACGGGCCGACCCACGATTCTTAGAAAGGCAATATGAAAGACAAGGAAAAGACAGGTTTGAACACGTAAAATCAACTAAGTAGGTCGCTTGGTCTCTGACCAGCCGCCTTCGGGCGGGCCGATCTTTGTTCATGTTTAACGCATAGGACTACGGAAACAGGTCAGTAACACGAGGATGAGCCAGCCGAAAACAGATCTTACACTTCACGGGCCTTCTCACTAGGTTTTCGCACCCGGCTTGAACGACGGCCGACGTCTCCAATCACACTTGTCTGAGCACCATCCGCGCCCATGGGGCCACCTTTCTCCAAGGAACTATTGGCGTGAACACTAGAGAGTGTAGTGCGGGAAACAGGTCAGTAACGCGAGGA